TTGTATATAGTTTTCCACTTGTCACATTAAAAGCTGAAAATTTCAGGATGCATATAAAATTGCTTGATGGCATAGTGAACTTGAGTTCATATGAATTCTATGAATGAGAAGTGTGAATATAATCAACTAATACACACTCGATGATAAGGCAGGGAAAGGGGATTTCTTGGTTCATCAAGGGCTAATAATTACCTATATATAGGCATCTATATTTTACTTAACTGCTGTATGTTCTTAATCTCCTATTCTAGAACAAGAGAAGAACTTCAGTCCAAATGATCGTTTAATTTATTATTGCCATTTTATGACATATTTGCAATACAACCCGTTCCAATCTAGGTTTCATATATTAACATTGTCGAATAATGTGGCCTGAAATGTGTTTCCGTGAAGGGCGAAAAAATGAAGTTGTCTCATATAATGTTGATATTTTTTTAAGAAGTCCAGAGAAGAATTTTCATGTAAGGGAATTTTTTCTAGCATTTGTTAAAGTTATAAATCATACGCATGGACCTTTGAACTTTAATGGCTTATGGAGAGGCAAGTAGTTGTTACTAAGATGTGTGTGTATTTTCTTGTGTGTTTCTTCAGTGTGAAAAATGAGTTGTTAATATAATATTTTCTTACAAGACATAATTGTAATGCCTAAGTTGTTGGAACTGTTTCACAAGTTCTGAATTATATGCCTATATGCAGGAAGTTGGAAAGGAATTTGTGTCTTGCAGCATAATAATGACATAAAGTTAGAATCCATGCTTTTAACTATTTGAAGATGTGAAAAGGGATTCTAGGGCCTTTGCTAATCTGGTATTCAAAAACAGGAGGTAAAACAAACTTATTAGATTAGATTATATTATGCTATGCTTAGAAAGTAGTCAAGTGCATCATCAACTATAAATAAATGGGGTGAAACGTTAAGTTTTGTTCGATGAAACATATTGTTGTTGCTTATCTATAAATGTAGATGAAGCTTTTATTGAGTCATTTTGTATTATATATAGGGATTAGGCATAAATTTGAAGTACAGAGAGTGAAAGAAAATGGAAAATTGTTAGGTAAGGCAAGAATTCCTTTCTCCCAACCACCTCTGTAATTTTATTTTTTACCTTTTCTGGACATCTATCATAATTTAGATTTACTTCAGCTTATTAATGTTGAATCCTATATATATATATAAATAATTGCAGCTCATTTCTAAGCCTAAGCTTTTTTCCAGGGTAGA